TTTTTTTTTTCTTTTCTATAATCTTTGAAATCTTTAATAATAAACTTAAAATTAAAATGAGAATTATTATGAAAAATAAAAAAAAAAAAAAAAATGATACAAAAAACATGAAAAAAAAAAATTTCTGATTTTATTAGAAACAAAAAATCTAAGAAAAATTACAGGAAATTAAATATGTATAATTAAAGTTCATTGATAATATATTAAAGTACATTTTTTTATATACTTCTGAATTAGGAATAATATCATAGATATATAAATTATTTTTCAATTTTTTCTTTTGTTTTAAGGAATTATTAGAATTATTTTTTAAAGAATTGTTAGAACCATCTTGTAGGGAAATATCAGAATTAAATTTTAAATAATTGTCAAAATTGTGTTTTAAAGAATTTTCGCAATTATAATTTGAAATATTACCATTATCCTTTATAGAAGGATGATATTTACTATTTAATGAATTGATATAATTTTTGTGATAATAATTTATATTATATATACTATCATTATATTCATTTTTGTCCATATTTTTAAATTTTATTTTTTTATCAAAAGTTTCTTCATCAAGTATATTTTTATTTTGTGTTGTTTCAGAAATTTTTTTAGAATAATTTATTTTTCTTCTTTTAGTTTTTCTTTTATTTTTCAGTTCTTCTTCATAATGAATTATATCTTCTTCTAATAATTTTTTTTGTGATGTGTTATTTGATTTCTCTTTTTTTTCCTTTTTTTCTATAGAATTAAAAATAAAAGAAAAATCATCTAAATTATTTAAATATTCAAAAAAATTAATAAAAAAAGAATAATGAAAATGAATATTTAAAACATTCTTGAAAAATATATTATCACATATTTCATTTTCAATTTGCGTATCTGAATGATTTTTATTCATAATTATGTAGTCATTAGTATTATTCAAACTTATATTTGTATTTTTCTTTATTTTATATTCGGAAGATATATTTTCAAGAAGTATTTGAATTTTTTTTTTATCTTTAACAAAAAAAAAAGCTAAATTAATAATTATTAAATTATATTTTTTATGTTCATTTAACTTATACAAAAGTTTCATTAAATGTGTTTCTTCATGAATATATTTTATGTGTATATTTCTTAATATACTCTTTAACTCTTCTATATCTATTTTAGAATTACTTTTAAAATTAAAATAATTTTTATTTTCTTCATTATTTAAATTTTTGTAACCTTTTATTTTCTGTATATTCCACTTCCTATTATATTCAAGAGATGAATTTAGAAAATTCAAAATAAAATTGAAGTCAGGAGGGAATATATCTGTTAGAGTTTTATTTGTTAAGTATAAGACTTTCTTTATTTTCTCCTTTTTATTTTTTCTACTTTTTATTATTTTTATTATTATATCTAAAATTATAAAAGTATTTATATCTGGAATTGTTATTTTTTCAAATAAAAAGGATGCCAAATTTTTCATTTTTATTTATGCAACTTTTTAATTTTTACTAATATTTAATCATAATGTGATATTTTAATAAAAAGATTAATAATATTTAATATTAATTATGAAATGATAAAACATAGAAATATAAAAATCTAGGAAAATAAACACAAAAAAAAAATATTAAGGTAAATATATATATATATGATATAAAATATAGAATTCTCGTTTTTTATTAAAAATATCTAGGAAAAAATATAGAGTTGATTAAGATACAAATTTTTAATTATATATTAAAAAAAAAAAATGAAAAAAGATTATTAAACTTTCACAAAAAAAAAAAAAAAAAAAAAAAAAAAAAAAAAAAAAAAAAAATAAAATAAAATAAT